TAAGAGGATTGCTGTGATTTTATTCTAAGTGATACAGCAGGGCGTATGAATTACGACAGCACTTATACGATCTATGCCATAGTTTTTGCAATTATCATTATTTATACAGAATAAATTGCTCTATTCCAATGAAAATTGATTTTTGTGATTTAAGATTATTACTCTGAGGTTGGATTTGTTTTCCATGGAATAAAATTCTTTATTTCGCAATTCTTTTCTATAAAAATCCTCAGATGTCAATAAAGATTTTTTTCATTTGAATGTTTTTTTTTTTATTTTATTTTGATGTTTGTAAAAAATTAAACTTCGCTTATGGAGATTATGTTTTTGATATAAAAATGTCTATCCTTCTGTCACTACAAAAAAATTCCCCTGCGTATACATAACGACAGTATGTATACGCCCTTCATTATCTCAAAAACGTCTAGTAGATTAGTATACGAGTACAACACATAAGTGTTAGCCATCATGACACATGAGTTTCTAGGCAATAAAATAAACATTGACTTAAATATGTCTTCTTCCATTGCAAATTTGAACAATCATCTAATTGTTATTGACACAGACCCATACACACAATAGTCCCCATAATGAGACGCATGACGAAGGTCATAGGCACACACTTTAACAAGGACCAGACAAAAAAATTGCCTTTTGTAATCCTATTTGTGTTTGACAGCAGCTTCAAAAGCCTATCATTATGTGGTTGTGTTCTCAAACCCTAAGGGGGGAGGATGGTGCACAGAATTCAACTAATATTCATTAAATATTGACTGATGGACTTACTGATTTTAAGAGCTTTTGTGGTTTGACTTTTGGGGCAATTATTGGGTTCATTAAAATTTATGTTAAGTTTTTTTTTTTGGAAATTATTTAAAGATACAATTTTAGCTAACAAAGGAAATTGATTTATCGTAATCGGATCAATAAAATATGAATTTATTGTATTTCATTTAATTTCATTTCTGCTATATATTTCCTTTTAATTGAAATTTCAATTTCAAAAATTTTGTTATTTCTATTCCTTGTTGTCTAAAATGGTTTATGAAATCTCTCTCTTCTTCGTTTTCTTTATGGACTTACAGACATTTCCAAAGAGCTCATAACATTTTATTACTGTATCTTGAATACAGTTGAATATCATTTTTCATTTGCCATAACAATGCCAAGACATTGGCTTACTCTTGTCTTCTTCTTCTTTTCAGTTCTTCTTCGACAAAGACAGGTCATAAATATAAATGTTTTGTAAACGAAAAGAATTTATTTAAATATATGAACTGAAGGGGGAAAACGATTCGTATAAATATACTCTTAATAAAATTAGCATTTGTTCGAAATAAAAATGTAAATAATTTGTATTCATTTCCGTTCCAAATGAAAAATGCATTACTTTATTTGTTGGGAAGGGTCCAAAGTGGCGTATACTTTATGACAACATGTATACGTTACTGGGGACCAAACCAACAAAAATAGGGCTTAAAGGAAGATAAAGATAATTTGCGTATAAATATTTGTTCAAATTGCAAATGACTTGTAAATTTAGATACTTGAGTATCTTATTCTGCCCCTAATTGGAATTAATGGGATTTGAGCAGTGTTTTCCTTAAGGAAGCTGTGATTATAACTGTGGATTCTCATGACAAATTTTCCTATAAGAATAAATTATATTTAATTTATTAAACGGCAAAGGATTATTGTACTGAGTAAATTATAGTAAAAGGACTAAGCGTTGGCAGAAAAATTCATTACTCTGTATAGTAGCTCTGTCCCAACAATAATTAATTTTTTGTGATATAAGGATACGACTGAGGGTAGATTTTTTTCCATGAAATACAACTCTTTAGTTCCCTATTTAATTCTGTTATTCTTTTCTATACAAATTATCATTTGTAAATCGGTTTTTTTCCAAAATTATCTGTTGGGAATTATTGCCTGGGATTAGGGGATTACTGCGATTTTGTTCTGAATGATATAGGATTTTATTTTGATTGATACAGGGCGTATGAATTACGACAGCACTTATACGACCTATGGCATACTTTTTGCAATTTTCATTATTTATAAAGAAAAATTGCTCTATTCCAATGAAAGCTACTTGCATTAAAGGGACTATACGTTGGCAGAAAAATGCATTACTTTATACAGAATAAATTGCTCTGTCCCAACAATAATTTTTTGTGATTTAAGCTTACGACTGAGGGTAGATTTTTCCATGAAATACAACTCTTTTTGGTCCCTATTGAATTTTGATATTCTTTTCTATAAAAATTTTCATTTGGATATTGAAATTTATTTTTTCGAAAATTAATTAAATAATAATACTAATTTTTACGGAGGGAAAAAATGAATGCCTATGTTTAGGGGATTATTGTGATTTTATTATAAATGATACAACAAGGCGTATGAATTACGACAATACTTATACGACCTATGGCATTTATTTCGAATATTATTTGCTGGGAATTATTGCCTGGTATTAGAGGATTACTGTGATTTTATTCTGAATGATACAGCAGGGCGTATGAATTACGACAGTACTTATACGACCTATGGCATACTTTTTGCAATTATTATTATTTATGCACCATAAATTACTCTATTCCAATGAAAATTGTTTTTTTTTTTTGTTTGGATCTAAGGTTACAACTGAGCGTAGATTTTTTCTATGAAATATAACTCTTTAGTTCCCTATTGAATTCTGTTATTCTTTTCTATACAAATTTTCATTTGGATATTGAAATTTATTTTTTCGAAAATTAATTAATTAATAATACTAATTTTTACGGAGGGGAAAAATGATTGCCTATGTTAGGGGATTTTATTCTGAATGATACCTATGTCATAATTTTTGCAGAATAAATTGCTCCGAAGTTAAGCTGATTATATTTCATAATAATTTTCTCTGTGTGTTAGATTGAAAATGTTGAATTAAATGTTCTTGCTTACAAACCTCATAAATTGATCCCTTTAATCATCATCAAATCTAAAACTTAGATTTCTTCTATAGAAACAAATTTTTCCAAGAACTGATAGATTTTTTGTTTTTGAAAAACTGTCCTCTATAGAAAATAAATATTAATTTCTTTTTGTCTTGGAAATTTCTTCCATAGAATGATAGCCTGTCACTGAGAGCCAATTATATTCCTTAAAGATGATCAAGTTTTTCTACCAAAAAATTCTAAATTACTGATTTAATTTTTCAGAAATATTTGCACCCAGTTGGCGTATACGTATTGACGGCACGTATACGCACATTTGATTCACGCAGATTTAATATGTTTAATATTCACATTTTTTTCACGAAACAATATTAATTTCTTTAAAAAATTAACCAATTATATACTCCTCAAATTATACCAGCAATTAAATTCCACAACATTTTAATGCAAATCCTTGAATTCCATCATAAACTCTTTTACCAATAAAAAGTAAAGCATACTCAAACCGAACAAAAAACGAAACAAATAAACTTGAAACAAAAATCCCACACAATACAAAAAACAACAAGTACTACTACAACACTATAACCCCATATAACCATAAACTATTGTAAATAACAAGAAACCGCACGATTTGTTTTCATTTGAAAATTATTCTTTGTTGTGGATGGGAATTTTTACTATTCCGAAAAAAACACACGCCAAATAGCCAACATCCTTTCATCATAACCGCCAAACAAGTGAACTTATTTAAGTTGGTTGCTGGTGGTCATACATATTTTCCGAATTGCAATAGCTTTCGTAGAACTACAAACCATCGAAACACCAAAAACAATTAAAGCACATTGCTGCCATACCCATAGATGGATGGATCGATGGATGGTTGGATGGCAACAAAATAATTTTGTACAACATTGCTGCAACTGCTCACAAATCCTGACTTTCATCCTTCATCTGTTAGAAAAATAGAAATGAAAAATAGCCACACAAAATTTTTACACTGAATTTGAGTAAAATTCTTGTTTGTGTGGTAAGGGTTTTCTAAATTAGAAAAAATAGCAAAAAAATATGTGCCAAAAGTATGCCACACATGACCAAACAAAACCTCCTAACTATGTAATAATAAAATTACAACAAATTACAAATTCTCATACAAATAATTTATATACTTGAATTTGTAACTGAAATTAAATATCCTTTTTTTGCCTTCTTCATCGTGGTAGTTAGGAAAAAATATCCGGTCATAACAATTTAAGTGACATTAAATGTTTCATTTGGCATTGTGGTGAATTTAATTAATTTCCAACGAAAAAACGGCAATTTGTTGACCGCGATATGATGTGGTTTGTGGCTGCGGTGCATTTTATTGTGGTATTTTATACATTTCACGGCGAGATAATAAAAACAAAATGAAATTATAAATTTAATAATTTTTTTTTTTAGTTAAATTTTATTTAAAATGCAATCGAAAATTAATTTTTTAGAATGGTACTGCGTGTCGTATAACTGATGACAACAGTTATACGCCACAATGTCAAGGCATAATAATTAATACTCAATAAATGGGAATAGCAAACAAGTAAATCCTCATGAAATGTGACATTTTCTACATAATCTTTAAAAAATCAACTGAGATTCTAAGTGGAATTATAAATTAATATTTTTTAGTTAAATTTTATTTGAAATCAAATAGGAAATTTAGTGTTTAATATGGTCTGCGTGTCGTATAACTGATGACAATAGTTATACGCCACACTGACAGGGCATAATATTAATACTCAATAAATTGGAATAACAAAAAATGTTAAATTAAATGTGTCATTTTCTATAAAATCTCCAAAAAATTCGCCGGAAATAAATTTTGGATTTCTTCTATTAAAAGGTATCTTTAAAAGTTTTTTGATAATTTTTTTCCATAGAAATTTTTTTCTTAGCCGCAGTCTCTATACCTGTCTACATCCCTTATTCTTGTGTCCTTATATATAGTTATATTTAAAATTTTTTTGTTGTATATCCACAACATGTTCTAATTTTTGTTTTTATTTTCTCTTTTTCTTACAGCCCACTCACAAAATGCAATCGGGTGAAGGTGCGCCCACAATTTCATTACAGCTGGTGCCAAAAATGTTGGCACCATTGGTTAGCCTTTGGGTGCCGCAGGCATTTGTTGTCTCCTTTAAATTGGAAACCGATGAGAATTTATTGATTACCAAAGCTCGTGATAGTTTGAGTAAATACAAGCACAAGGTAAGTTACGAAAAATGTTCGATTTAAGTTAAAGATAAAAATTTAAATTTAGTTTGGATTAGGGGTAAAAAATGTCATTCATAATAGAAGTTATATAGTTGAAGAGAGTTTTATATATTATTATTTTATATAGTTACTGAAGACCTAGACGGTCATTAGAAGCGTCCACCCAGTGTCTATGGTAGACCTAGACGATTTTCAAAACTCCTTTGACTGACAAATGACTTCCAAGTATAAGTATGCGAAAGGCATTGTTAAGTAGACCACTTTCAATAATCTTACGCCTTTCAAAGCCTTAAAAATCGTATGTTGTCTATAGAATGTTCCATAAAGGCATTTTAAACCCTTTTTTTAAAGAACATCCCTTAAAATTAGAGAAAATTTTGTTAGAAGACTTATTAAATACCTTCTGTATTTAGGTACCTATGAAAATTCTCCAAAAGGATTAATTAGGCATTTCAAGAGATGACATGCTACTTGGAGATTCCGGAATTTTTTCCTTTGAAGTTCCTTGATGGTTTTACGCATGTAGGGGCATTATTCTGCCAGTAGGGACTTGAAGTTTCTGTTTAATTTTCAAAGCTTTCAGAAGGTTTTTGAACTTTGAATTGCACATATCAGTTCTCGAGAAAGGTATTTCAGGAGAATTATTATCCTCTGTAAACAATAATTAAAAAATTTCGGGCGAAAATAACACCTTGACAAATTTTACGGTGATCTTTTACATAACGGAAATGGGCGGGAACTTCATATATGATTTTGTTAGAACAACAATTTTCGATATAGGTCTTATTGACAACTTTCTATAGAAAAATAGGTATGGGAAAGAGAGGGAGAGAGACGGATAATGGTAGATATGAGGTGTTTTTAAATGGTTTATCAAAGGTCCGTATATAAAAAAGAAGTCTTTGAAGCAATTTCAATGGTATTCTGTTTATAGGTCTCTTGAAATGATCTGCCCTAGGAGACCTTTAAAAAGGCTGTCAGTCTAGCCGGCTGGTGCAAACGATAACTCTTGAAGGTAGTAATCGATTTTATCCAAACTTTGCGCATCTTAATATTTCTTCCACACTTAGTTCGAAAATGGGGAATATCGGTCCACATCTTCTGGTACATAGCCCACAAAATGGTCAAAATTGTTGAAAAAATTAATTATATAATAATATGCGATGGTCTATCCGATTAGAACCAAACCTACAACCTATTATCATTAGCAAACCTAGATGAAGTAGGAAGATGGGACCCATTAATCCACTCCTTCTGACACCTGCCTCATAAATGGTCAAAGTGTTCAATATTTACAACTCCAAATTTAGGCGAATGGTATATCCGATTTTAACCAAACTTTGCACAACACAATAACATTACCAATCCCAGTTCGAAGATGGGACCCGTTGGCCCACTCCTTCTGGTACCTCCCCCACAAAGGGTCAACATTTTCAATATTTTTAAATGAAATATGAGGCAAATGGAATGTCCGATTTGAAGCAAACTTTGCCCAACGTATTATCTTTACCAACCCTAGATCAAGTAGGAAGATGGGATGTATAGGTGCAATCCTTCCGGTACCTCCCCCACAAGTGGTCAAAATGTTCAATATTTATAAATTCAATATATTATTATCTTCACAAATCCTGGGGCATATCCTCATCCTCCAGAAAGCGTCCATATTTTATAAAATTGTAAATTTTATAAATTGAAGCAAATTGAATAACCGAATCTGAAACCTCTTTGATAAAAACATGTGTGTAATTAAGACAACCTGGAAAAATCATATGCTGATTTTGTCGATCACAAAATCAAAAAATCTTGGAACGTGATCTTCCAAATTGGTGGACTTGCGCAAAAGACCGACACGCGTTGAAATCTTTTTTAAGCTCGGCTTATGGAACAACCGTTCTGTAACAAGCCAGCTAAATAAGTAAGTAAGATTTTGTCGATCGGCAACCACTGACACTTTTTACTTCTTATTTGTCAAAATTGGTTTGTAAAATCTCAAGAATATAAGCCTAAGATAGAAGGCTATCAGAAAGGTTTAGCCTATAGCAAAACATCTGGAATGGTTTTCGGTCTATAGGAGAATTTCTTCAAAGTTCTTTAGAGAGATACGGTGTCTTAAAAAGAACACAAATGCCTTCTTGGTAGATTAAGACTTCTCAGCCTTGTCCCGAAGTCTATTATAAATTATATGACGAATCTCTTCTGTCCAAAAAAGGCCTTTAGAAAGGATTCATGTCTAAGGAATATCACTGGAAATAAATTATTCTTAATATATTGATTTTAGAAAAATCCAAGTACATATATAAGAATATCTTTAGAAGGGTCTTCTGACTATTGAAAGATATCCTAGATGGCATCTATTTGAAAACAGCCTTTACCGATTATATTAGAATCCAAAATTACATCCGTCTTGTCGATATTCATAGAGTCATTCCTAAGATACCCTGTCTATAAAAGGAAATAAGAATGTATTTTGTATACATAAGGTCTTGAAGGTCTTTCATCTATATAAGACAATTTTCTGGTCTTAAGGCTATGGAAATAACTTTAAAAAATTCTGTGTATAAAAAAATACTTCAAAAAGTCTTCTGTATCTGGGTGCCTTTTTGAGGTCTATACAAGTCTCCTTTCCTTGTAGAAGATATTTCTTCAATTATCCTTTCTAAGGCATTTAGAAAACCTTCCAAAAATCTGATGTGTGAAGAGTAATGTCTTTCTTCTATATGTGGGGGTGTATATTAAATTTTGCAAATAAATTGTTACTACTCATCGCATGTTTGGTATTGAAAATGGGATATATCGGTATACGTGTTGGTATAGTCCCCATACAACAATACCGCCAAATTTTCGATAGTTTGTGGATTTTTGGCACGTTTTTTTCAACTGGATAGGCTGTAATTTGAATTTGCTGATACCAAAACATATCAATATTGGACAATTTTTTACGATGGCTCCAAGATAGATCCGAATATGTGGGGGATATTCGGAATTAAAAGGATTTTTGGTACGTTTCTAAACAATAATTCAAAATTCTTTCTAAAAACTATTAATTTTTAACTCCATGACCTTTTAAATCCCTCTTCCTCTTGTTTAACACTAGATTGCCGAAAGCAGTCATTTTGACGGTTTTTCAATTTCAAGTACAAAAAAAATTGTGTATATTATGACACAGCTTTTTAAAATTTGGTGACATAGAACTACGTTTATTAATCATAGCAGCTGCTTCCTCCCATTTTTCATTCCCCGTATTCACATGTGCTATACCTATATGACCTAAAATTGGTATAAAGTAAATTTCTTATATGACCAGATCAGTACAACAACATCGAAACCCGTTTGCTACTCTAGAAACACAAACGAACACACAAATCGGGAAAAATAAATTTTATATTTCCAGTCGATTTCACTCTTAGAGTAAAGACTTACTCTTTTTGGAACATTTTGTCTGCGTTCTTATTTTTCAAAAAGGGAAACTCGAGTGCCCTCCCGCCGAAAACAAATAATAACAACGTTTTGTATGATTGTAAATAATGTAAAAAGTATTAAAAAATAAGTTTAAAAAAATTTCTTTACAAAATAAAAATTCTTTCAGAATGAGGTCATTTTGACCGATTTTAGGCAATATAGGTATATACAAAATTCCAGTCTTTCTATTGTTAATATTTCCACACCTTTCTATTTTATTTTATTTATTTTTTGCTTAAATATGCTAATACCCAAAAAATCTCCAGTTTATAATCGAAGCGAATATTCTTTTTAAATTTCATAAAAAATTCGAAAACTTTTTTCCTTCTTCTTTTTGTATCCTTAAATTAATTTTGTGCTAATATCAAACGTGTTCTACATACAAATAATCAAACAGAAAACAACCAAAAAGGAAAAATGACGACATTATCTCTGCTAGCTGACAACACTAAACATCCTTTCACTCTCGGGACTCATCGTGTATATGTGAGTGTGTCTAAACACTAGTAGGTGTGCATTGTTTTTTTCTGTTTTGTTAAACAAATATCCTGTTTTTGTTTATCTTCTTCGAACACATGTAAACAATGACAACACACGACTAGTAAACTAAAAATTGTGAACAGTTGTGGAAGGATATTTCACATTTGTGTATTTTGTATCATAGTATGTGTGTGTGTTTTTGTATTTTGCAATTTTCATTTTCATTTCGAACACTTGTCGTCGTCATTTACTGACAACGAAGTGCTGGACACAATGTTTTTGTAACTGAAAACAACACGCTGTCTATATGAGTATACTCTATATGTATGTAAGATTGTGTGTAGGTGTAAAATGTGTCCTGTATGCAGTTGCATTCATACATAGTTACATTTTTGTTTGTAATACCTTTCAATGACTATGGAATTACAGCAGGTTGCCAAAGTATTTACACAATAATTTCAACACAAATGTGCGACAAACATGCAAGCATATGTATATGTCCACTAGAATAATTTAGAGAGATATTTACACCATATACACTCTGAGATAAAATGCAAAAGAAGTTAAGTGCGATTGCGATTGTTGGAAGTTCAGTATAGGACGTACATGCATTGACATAGATATAGCTTCAGATTTAGATATAGCTCCCATATATATTTTCATCCGATTTTAGGTATATTTCAGGATCCATATGTAGTCGGGCTAGTCCTACTTTACTACTTTCCTTACTGGTTTATGTCTATATTTCAGCATTTCTGTGTTGACCAGGATATTAGAAATGTAGGGTGGTGTGAATAAAACATACGTCAAACTTGTTTTCCGGCCACCTCCGAATTATTTCTCTTTCAATTGTTACTATTTACCACATATATATATATATATATATATATTATAGTTTTCTTCTATAGTTATATTAATTGTTCTATTTCTTTCTACTTTTTCACATTTCTCTTTGTAGTTGGTTATTGCAAACATTTTGCAAACACGTAAACATCGTGTGGTCTTTGTTACGCCCAACAGCTCCTATGAAGTACACCTAAGTAGAGAACAAGCACTGCAAGGCCTTGAAATTGAGGAACCAATTGTTGCTGATGTAGTAAGTATAACAAACAACAACTACAACAAAAACTAAAAAAATACAACACAAAAAACTTTTCACTTTTCCTTTTTCTTTGTTACACTTGTTTTTGTTGTTCTTGGGGTCCTAAAAACATTGGCCTTTTTTTTGAAAATTTTCTGCTTGCCATTGCAAACAGGCAGTCGTCTGAACTGTGAAAATAAATAACATTTTAGAATGTTAAAGGGACAATGGTTGTGGAATGCCATAAACTTTTGTTTGAACTTTCCTTATCCACCAACGGCAACAACAACGAAATCAACGTCAAAACTCACATTTTAATATTAAACACACAAGAAAACAACAACTACAACGTCATTTTAACCTTTTGACTTCATTAGGCCACAACACAACATTCATACTTTTTACAAAAAAAGTTTTTTGCTGTTTTTGTTTTCTTTTGACGTTTGAAATTAATATTAAAACAGCTTTCAAAAATTATTGTTTCTTCGAACTAATGTGTTGTGGTATGGGGTATTGAATGTCTTAAACTTAAACAAGAAAAATTAGAACATTCTCCACAATGTGTCCATTTTAAATGTTTTATAAAGGTAAAGGATATTCGAAAAAATTATTTTGAAAAAAAAAATAATAATAAAATCGTTGACCTACAAAAGTTTTTACAAACAAATTAGAAAATGTAAAGGGTTTTTATGCCCACAAAACTTTGCGGACGCATCTGTTCCCAGGGGATTATTCAGAGACCATTATATTTCAATAGACTTCAATTCCAGCAAATGCCTCAAAACCTGGATAAATTTCAGGCATTCTTCCAGTAGCAGCGAAGAAGGTATTTTGAAAGTATCTTTAAGAGATCTTCTCCTGGTACTATGCCCAGGAAATCATATAGAGACGTTTAGTGATCTTCTATGGCCAGTAAACTCGAAATGAAGAACATATTCCAGATATTTTTAATAAAAAAACATATTTCTTAGTATCTGGCGATTTTTTTTCTATAACAATATATTCCTATTTACATTGCGAATTTTTTGCTATAGCAAACATGATTCTTTGAACCTGTAAATGTTTTTCATTGGAAGAAAAATAAAAAAAATGTAGAAAAAATTCGGTCCTGACAAATGTTTCTTATATTAAAAAATGATCATTCGGACTTGACGAAGTTTTTTTCAATATAAAATTATTCTTCGGACCCGACGAATTTTTTCTTATAGAAAATATTATCCTTCAAATTGGTGATTTTTTTCTTATAGAAAAAACATGATCCTTTGGGGTTTACTAACATTTTTCTATAGAAAAAGTTTATGCTTCAGACCTGACGATTTTTTCTTTTAGAAAAAAATCATCCTTGGATTTTTTCTATAGAAAACAATTTTTTCCTATAGAAAATAATGATCCTTCGAACCTGACGAAGTTTTTTTTCTATAGAAAAAATTATTCTTAGGCCTGAAGATTTTTTCCTATTGAAAAAAATGATCCTTCGACCTGACAATTTTTTCCTATAGTTAAAATGATTCTTCGAACGAATTTTTCTTGTAGACACAAATGTTTGTTCTAGCCTGACGAATTTGTTCCTATAGAAAAAATTATCATTCGGACCTGACGAATTCTTTCCCATAGAAAAAAATTATCCTACGGACCTGACGAATTTGTTTTTGTAGAAAAAATTATCGTTTGGATTGGACGATTTTTTTCTCTAGAAAAAATGGTCTTTGGACCTGGCCTGCGAGAGTACTTTAAAGAAAAATTGTGTCCTATGCGTTACAGGAATATTATATGCTTTCTAGAATACCCCGAAGAAATTTTAGACCGGTTTTGTAGCACTTTCAAATTTCTTTTAGAAGTTTCCTAGGTGTTTCCCTATGCCGGAGACTCATCAGAGACCTTTAATACTCCGGAGTTAATGACACTTTTTTATCAAAAGCTTACAGAGGTCATTATAGATATATAAGACCTTTCAGAGGACTCGAATGCCTTCGAATATCTTCTGTCTCATGGAAACCGTTCAGAGCCGGAACCAGGGGACTTTCCAAAAACATCTTCTTCATACCTACCAGACTTTTCAAAGGCCTTTAAGTTTCCTAATTAGAGTTACTGAGATATCTACCGGGACGCCTGTCAGAAAACTTCAATATCCAAACAAGCGTTCTTATGTAGGAGATTTTCAGATAATTTTGGCTCAAAAGTCCTTCCCTAAGATTTCTATCGTCATAACATAAGTATTCATGGCAAACAGAGGTTTTGAGATGTCTTTTAATAGAACATTATTTCTCAGGTACCTTTTTGTTAAGAACATATGGTCGTCTATGTCCTGTATAATTTTGTAATGCCTTGGACATATTCCTCAGGTCACACAAGGATATAATACATTGTACAAGAAATCTTTGAGATGTCTAATACAGATATAAGAAATTTGAAATGAGTTTTTTGGTCAGGCGAAATTTTAAAGGTCTTTCCATGCACAGAGAATTTTTCTTATTCAGGGGAGTCATTCCCAAGTCTTCACAGGAAACCTTCAAATCGGATTCTACGAGCACTAAACACTTTTCAGAGGAAAGGATCCCTCAGGTGCCTCTTATATATGTGTGAGGCCATTTGGATGTTTTTTTTTTATTACAATCCTTAAATTTCAGGCACATTGAGAAAACTTTAAGGCTTTAAATAACTTTCTTTGAGATGCCCTTTTTTGTACAAATTTGTATATGGACCATCCTTTGGGCAAAATCTATATGTCGTATATAGATATAGGTCCTTATAAAGTAATATATGTCGTATCTTCATTCTATAATGACTCTTTGGCGCATTTTTTCTCTCGACACCCGATATTGGTATCTCACGTAGAAAACCTTACAAAGGTGGTTCACTTATAGAATATTTTTTTAGTTTTAATTTACATCCAAACTATTATAATAATTTAAATAAATTTCAAATTATAATTTTCCTACATCATCTCACCTATTTTCCCCTTCTTTTCTACAGGTACAAAAACACAGCGAATTCATAAATTCGGGTATGTCTCGACAATGACCAATGTCAATGCGACAGCGACAACAGCAACGACATCACATGCAAGTTGATTGTCGCGTGACAACGCCGCATTTTTGTCGATTGCTGAATCCTGGACCTGGTATTGGACGACGGTATTGAAAAAAGGAAAATGATTAAGTTTACGTTAAAAACCGAAAACAAAAACACCAAACCAACAACACATATAAATCCCGTAACAGAAAACAACACCAATCCCATAAAACAGAACATCATAAAACCAAGAACAACAACACCACCCAAACAAATTAACATATTCAGGTAAACAAATAATAATTTGTGTTATTAGACTTTACTCCTCCCCCAAATTACACCGACTATCACCACGACGCCACCCAAGAGAGAATTATAACTCCCGCAAAGCCCAGACAAACATACCCATACTGTTTTGGGATAGTCATAACCTATACCGGAGACCCCCATCCCTCATATATCTACCGGATAGCCCGTTGGTCTACATTCTGTTGTTTTTTTATTGATCCATTTTGTGACCAGTTTTGACATCTAATACTGCGTGTGTGGGAGGAGTAAAAGTCAGAATGTAGTTTAGTAAAAATGTTATCTATTCTTAGTATCAATTAGTTTATTATTAGTTTGTTTTCTTTCTCCTTATATTCTTCAGCTATTATTCTATAAATAACTTAAATATTCTATAAATATTATTTTTTGTTATTGTTTAATTAACTATAAGCTACAGAAGCTATAACAATTGTAACCGAACTTTCTTCACGAACCTTTAAACATAATTAGAATTTTTATGAAGACTACATTTTTTATTGTAAATGTCTAGGGATATTTTTTCATTATTAATATTATTATTGTTTGTCTTGGGGTTTTTGGGTTTATTATTACATTTAAGTAATTAAGTCCTAATTTGTTTGGTTTTTTCATTAGGGTTAGAGTGTCATGCAATGGCCATCCTTCCCTGGTGTCCATTATTATCAGTTACCTATCAATCATCATTATTCACTTTCATCATCATTTTTTTTGTGTCATTTTTTGTTGTCAACATTTCATGACCACTCCACAAAACAAAAATATTCATTATGATAAATTCTGCAGGTCCTTGACGGGGGTCAAATGGTTTATAGAGAATTAAATTCAGGGTTAAACTGGAATTTAGTAAATTGTGCTATACGTTGGGCGCCAATAGAATTTGTGATATTATTATATTACAAAAAACTGTGCCATCCACAGGATCGTTTAATATCGTTTAAGCTTTGAATATATGTATAATATCCACAGAGGTCCTAAATCAATTGAATATATGTTAAAGATCCACACAGAATTTCTATTGAAAGAGAAAAGAAGAGCTCTGCAAGAAATGCCTTCTAAATATCGTTCAAGTTCCGAAATATCGTTTTCTTCAGAGAGTTTTTGTCGATTAAAAATTATCTGATGTAAGACAGATTATAGGCATTCTTTTAGATGTCTTATGCATAGCTCTCAATATTTTTCTAAACAACACTTATCAAAGGCTGAACTTTCTATCAATGTAAAGTGGAATATTTAATAGACTCTCATATTCGACGCCACAATTTTTCTCCCCGTTTATTTTCCGACTTTATCCACTTAAGTTTTAAACTGCCTTTAAATTTCTTTAAACCAAAACTCCTTCTCGTTTGTATGCCAACTTAAACGTTTTTACCTCCTTTTTAATGGCGCAAAGAATAAAAAAAGAACTCATAAATTGCCACAAAATATCAAAACCAAGTTCGTGACCTGCTTTAAGTGTTTAACGCCAACTACCGCCACCATCAAAATCTAAACACAAATGGAAAAAGTACAAAATACTACAACAAAAAGACTTCGTATGAATATCAAAATACCAACGAACGAACGTTGTAGGCTTCAAAACCCTAACCTACTAAATGCAAGGACAAATCTATAAAAAAAATCCAACATACAGCAAAAAACAACACAACCAACACCTCATATAAATGTTGAATATCCTTTTGCTGTTGGTATTCGCTTTTGTAAAATGTTAACTGCGGTAATATATTTCTGACAAATGTGTCAGTAATGTATGTATGGGAATTTGTAGACCGATGATGGATGGGTGGATACGAAAATGAATGGCTGGGTGGTAATTTATATTAACAATTCCATGTTCGATTTATAGGTAAAAGCAATTGTAAACTAAATCTTTTGACAGACTTAAAGCGTAAATCCCGTAAACCATTATTTGCCATCCTAATAAGTTCATATTTTACAAGTTATGGAAGTAATATGAATTATTGACCCATAACTTTTATACCAAAAGCCCTATAGAAATTTTCCACTGTTTTCAATTTGTCGGTCGGTGCATTATCCTTTGGGCAATTAATTTCCTTTGCCTTTGGAAAGCCTTGATAAAAATGTCATTTCCATTTGTGCCATGCAAATTAAGCAGCCATAACCCTACCATTCGGCCGCTCCCTTTAACCTTCTTTCATGAATGAATGAATTGGTCGCGACACTATAAAATTTCAATACAATGTTGATAAATGATAATGACTTTGAGGCATGTAAAATAACAACAAATTTCAGTAACATTCATTACAATTTACAGTCAGATAAGGTAGTAGTCAATAATGATTAGAAATTAAAGGTTAGGAGGTCGAAAAGGAAAAATAAACTATAGAAACAGCAATTAAATGCAAATAAATTCCCGACTGGTGGGACATTTTTATGGATAACATAAATGTTTGGGTGTCTGTCAATGAAATAATAATGAAAGTCTCAGAACATTTTCTGAATTAAATTTGGTGTTTTATTTTGAATTTTGTTTTGAATCCCTAGTTTTTCCTCTTTGAACATTTTATTTTGCAAAACTTATTTTGTTTTGCATTTTTCATTATAATCCTTAATTTTGTTTATTTGATTTTGGATTTTGTATTATAATTTTTCAAAATTGTTTTTTTTATTCATTTGAAAAATTTCTTTGATTTGTCATTTATTTTTTATTTAAATCCTTTTATCCACTTTTATTATTTTATTTTTCAAATTAAAGCACTTCTCGTTATTCAGGTTTGCAATTTGGATCGAATTTACATTGCATAGAACGTTTATCATAAACTTTTTCCAATGAGATTTCAAATTTCTGATAATGGTTTCAAAGCAATTAAGACTAAATCAACATATTTGTTAATTAGATAAGCGAGTGTATATTTTAGTATCGCATTTCTTCAAACAATTTACCAAAAGGCAAGTTATGCCAAGGTCAGAGAGAGAGATATGTGTTAATGTTCAACGATATTAATTTCTGACCTTGGCATTGAAAAATTGTTCTATATTGCGTTTTTGTTATATCTTTGAAATTTAAAGATTATTTTTAAGATCTTCTGTGTCTCGATTCCTTATCGGGTACTTCCTCCTTTTTCGTTTTCTTTTTTCCGTGATTTGTCACGAGATTGCATTTCTTCTTGTTATAGGAAAGCATTTATAAATCATTTATTCTTATTACGCTCTTTAAACATTTCGGTTTATTCGTATTCTCTTCAAGATATAAAATAATGTCTAGGAATTGACTTAAATTATGCTATGGCATAGCGTATTATTTTATGTCCCTATTATAGATGTATACTTTAATAGGTTCATTTTTATGTTTATTTTCCGTGAAATTTCACGAGGTATTTTTTTGCTTCTTTTAAATCATTAATTATTATTACGCTTTAAAAAATCTAAGTTTATTCATATTCTCTTCAAGATATGAAATTATGTCTAGGAATTGACTTTAAACAAATTATGGCATGACATAAAAGTATGCCTCTGCAAGGGTTTACAATTTAATTGATATTTAATTTTGAAAATCAGCTAAATTGTAAATCATCGCAGAGGCATTGTTTTTTTTCAGTAAAAATTTTGGCGCAAAATTTTTCTGACAATAAATGGGTATCCAAACGATATCCAAAAGTCCCGAATTGATATTGACCAAGTTTTCCCCGGACCCTTGTTGCGTCCAAAATGTTTATTTTTTATGTAGAGAGCACGAAATTTGTTCTTGGGAGCATTTTTCAAATGTATCATTGTGTATTAACTTGTCGTATTCATTAGAATTGAAAATAATTTACCCTTATTATTACCGACAAATAATTATACTTGCCTACTATTTTGTTTCACCATGTTTACCCATAAATGTCATTGAAAATTTGATGTAGAAATGCCAAAATTAATATCTATGGATTTTTCAAAGTACTTGCCTGCTTTTTTATGACAAATTGTTTGACGCAATTGTACTTTGCTAAAAATTGCATATAAATCAAAATATTTCTTTGATATTTATGTGAAATAAATCCAGTATCGGAATGGTGTATTTTTATTTGTTATTTTGTCATTTGAAAGACAAATTATCTGTTAAAAGGGAAAGCAAGTTTTGGAGCCTTTTCTACAACTTGTAAACATGTTCCTTTCATTGTTCTCTGTTTAGTTTTCTTTGCAGTTGATTGCAAAAGATATATTAGTTTTGATATATTATTTATTTAGAATTTCCTGTTTAGACTTTGTGGAGTTGAGGTCCTGAGAATGATTGCTTACTTTTTTTCAGCTGCATATCTTGGTTCACAAAGTCTTGTTTAAAGCATCATATTTTTTAAACACAATTTGTATTTATATTCCTTGATTATGTAGATTTGGGAAGTATTGTCAATAAGTGTTATTTTTATGAAAATATGTTGTATGTAAGGGATATAAATTGACTTATTTTGCAAGCTCAATGGATATTTTATGTTCAGGCAATATTCTATATAAACTCCATAAGAAATTATGGGTCCATGATCAGAAACACAATCCCTTAGATAATACATGAACGGATGTGGAAATCATATTCAAAATATTAATTTTATTACAGTTTAGGGGCTTACCTTAGTGAAGAGGTCAATAGAGATTGAAGTTTTGTAAATTTTATTGCCGCTATTTTTGAAAAGAATTATTTCCCCTTAGTTAGATTCAGTATTGTAGTATATAGTAATAAATTTCCCCCAAATAGCAGGATACTATAGACATAGAATCATCGATATTTTTGAAAGAACTTTTGAAGGCAGTTACGTGACAAATGTAGTCCCTGTAATAGCTCACTAGGAGTTGACTGTGTTTTGTTTAAGCAGTCTATATATAGACTGC